AAGACTGGTGTTTTCATCTCTCCCATTTAAAATTGAGAGAAGACAGTGCTGCTAATGTGATTGTTTGTCAATGATGTAATATGGACAATATTTAGTCTACACCTTTCTCGATCTTCTGTTTCTGTTGAAGTTAGTTGAAAAATGACCACACGGAGTTCATAATGGACAAATTCAAGATCTACGCTTGTCTACCACCACCCAAAGTTGCATTTTATCCCCAATATGTCTGTACAGTTTACTAATAAGGGAAGAATTTTTCTAATCATTGCTGTTTTCAATCAACCAAGGAATGTACTCCCTGCTCATTCCATTTTTTTATTTGTAATTGGAATATTTTAATTGCAAAGCAAGTCTCTCTAATCAACTAAAACAACAAGAAGTCGATGTTATAAAATACATCATAAAGTAGCCTTGAAATTCTGGTTGCATATCTAAGATACAAATCAGATTTTTTTTATTCTGTTACTGCCAGCCATTTATTGTCATTGTTGGATATTAAGATTTTGCCTGGCCTTGCTCACAGCTGGTTGGAAAACAGAACAGTTTCTGCATATATTAAGCGACTTGGTCACATTAGAGTAAATTTTCTGTCTATCACGTATGAAAAGAAAACCCCTGGACAGACTCTATACTTCATTACAAGCAGATGGAAATATAATGAATGGGATGCCTACAGATTTTTCTTCTTTTATATTTTCATGGGATGTGGACATCTCTGGCGAGACCAGTACTTGTTGCCCATTTCTAATTGGCCTTGAAATTAGTAATTTGCCAGATCATTTCAGATGGCAATTAAGTGTGAACCATATGACCGGGTGTGGAGTCACCATGTAGTGTGTACCAGGTCTTCCTTCCTAATGGGCATTAATGAACCAGACAGGTTTTGACCAATTATAGTTGCTTTGGCCACAAATATCACTGAGACCAGTTTTATAATTCCAGGTTTGTTAACAAAATTCAAATTCCACCAGATTCCACAATGGGATGTGAATGCATATCACCTAAGCATTTGCCTGTGCTCCTGGATTACTAATCTAAATTACATCTCTATGTGGAGAATATGCTTTCTCACTTCTGCTGTGAAATACATGAACCTGGCATTTTTGAAGGGTTACACATGACCTGCCTCGCAGTCTGAATAACAGAAACATTTAATCTGTACGCCTTCTGGCTATATACCACACAAACAAGATGCAATAGGCTTTTCCAAAGACAACTCTTACCACCCTTAATCCTCTGGCATGATTCTGGACTTTGAATTTAACAAATATCTGCCAAGGTTTCTAAATATGCATAGGTCCCAAAAATTACTATCAACCTTTCCAAGCAATACTTGGGACTGCCATAGATATTGATTTGCCAAATTGTGCACTGGTGTGATGGTTGTCAACACCAATTTGTGTCATTATGGCATCTGTAATATAGTAAAACAGTACTTAACATGAGCATCACTAAACACTGAAGCACTGCAGATAAACAAGAGGCCAAAATTTGAAGAAATGTAGAATTGTCAGGGGATTGAATTTTAAAGTTGAGGCATTGTCGGACAATTTAGGTCAATGAGGACAGGAAATGCGATAAAGGATTTTGCTCTTATGATAAATGAGCTCCTGCAAATTGGAAATTAATTTTGACCAGTAACAGCAAATGAGGAGTGGGACCCACAGGAAAAGTCAGCCTTACTTGTGTCACTGATCACAAACTCAACTCTACACCTTGTCTGCCTAAATAAGTCCTATGAAAATTCTGTTTCAATGTTGTAGAACATGAGAATTTATCATTCATTTTACTTTCTAAACTCACATTACGAACATAAAAACAGAAGGATGCTGTTCAACCCCTGAGTCCTGTTTCACCATCAATTGGATCATAGCTGATGTAACTTTTGATTGTACTTAAGCACCTGGGAACAAATCCCTTAAAACAAACAAAAATCTGATAATGTCAGTTGTGAAAAGTCCAATTAACACCCACCTTCAATAGCTTTTATTGTATTGAGAGTGTTTGCTTGTATACCACCATCTGTGTGAAACAACAATTCATCCTATCATGCCTAAACAGTCTAGTTCTAATTTGAAAATTAATGCCCCTTGTTCTGTCTCCTCACCCCTTCAATCAGAGAATCACTCAATCAGAATCACAGAATTGTCATGGCACAGAAAGAGGCCACTTGGCCCATTGTGCCTACAGTGATTCTATCTCCTAGTGGCAATCTTCTGCTTTATCTCCATATCCCTGCAAACCATTTCTATTGAAATAACTATCCAATGCCCCTCTTGAACGCTTCCATCGAACCTGTCTCCATCACAATTCCAGGCAGTGCATTCCATACCCTAACTACTTGCTGTGTGAAAAATATTTTTTTTTTCTCACATCACTCTTTCTTTATTGCCCATCATTTTAAATCTATGTGCACACATCCTTGTTTCTTTTGTGAATGGGAACAGCTTCTCCCTATCTACATAAATAAAAACCAAAAGAACTTCAGATGCTGTAAATTAGAAACAACAGAAATTGCTGGAAAAGCTCAGCAGGTCTGGCAGCATCTGTGAAGAGGAAGCAGAACCTCAGTTCTGAGGAAGGGTCACCGGACCCGAAACATTATATCTGATTTCTCTTCACAGATGCTGCTAGAACTGCTGAGATTTTCCAGCAATTTCTGTTTTTGTTTCTCCCTATCTACTCTTTCCAGCTCACTCATGAATTTAAAAACCACTATCAAATTTTCTCTCAGCCTCTTGTCTCCAAGGTGAACAGTCCCAACTTCTTCCATCTATCTTCATCGCCAAAACTTCTCATCCCTGATGGTAAATCACTTTGGCATGCTCTTTAATGCAATTGCATCTTTCCTAAAATGCAGTGCCAATAACTGTCTGCAATTCTCCTGGTGAGGTACAAGTTCAACATCACCTGCTTGCTCCTGTGCTCTATGCCCCTGTTAATAAAGCTGAGGACACCAAATGCCTTATTAACTGCTCCCTTTATCTATCCTGCTACCTTCAATGATCTGTGCATGTATACACCCACGTCACCTGGCTCCTGCACCTCCTTTAGAACTGTATCCTCTTTCTCATACTGCCTTTCAAAGTTCTTCTGACCAAAGTGCATTACCTCACACTTCTCTGCTTTGAACCTTATCTGCCACCTGTCTGCTCACTCCACTAACTTATCAATGTCCTTTGAACTCCTCACCATTTATAACACTTCCAAATTTAGTGTCAACTACACAATTCTGCTCAAGAGGGAATAGTTACTCTCAACCTATTATATCAATTAATTTCATCATCTGAAACATCTCAATTAGATAAAAGGTCATGGAACTGACAGATTAACTTTGCCTTCCTTCTTCCACAGATGCAGAATAGCTTGTTGAGTGTCATCCAAACCTTTCTGCTTTTGATCAGATTTCCAGCATCCATAGTACTTTCTTTTAAACTGTTTTCTCACAATAGTGTAAAAATTCAAAACAGAAAATACAATTCCCATTATTTTTCAGATTGCTTTCTGCAGGATTAAATACAAATTCCTTTGAATTGCAATAGATGACCAATCATTTTTATAGACATGGTCTCTTTTCTGATTATTTTTCCCATTACTCTATGCTACAACAAAGGGGAGCTTTAGAAAGCAAAACGGCAAAATCCTTCAGAACCGACGCACTGATCTTAAATATTCTAGTCAAGAAAACCATGAAATGACTGGATAGATAATGAGGCTGGGTGTGAGGCTTCTAAAATAATGCATTAATATTAAACACAATTCACTGTGAATTAAATATGAAAATACAAAACACACCAAATTATCAATAAATATGCTAGCAAGTAAACATTTTGGTAACTGGGGTAAACATACGAATATATATTTGCTAATCTTTAACTCAAAGTATTTTAAATGCTGCAGTGAGCTCAAGTAATGGCTGTGATGATATTTGACAAGCTTACACAGTAAGCAATCTTGTATTCTTGGGGTGGGAACATACAATCTCAACTATCTACCTTGGATTTAGTTACTGAAACATTAAAAAGTCAAAATCTAAGGTTTTTAAAGCTGTCTTATAGGAATAAAAAGAGAATTTTTTTTAAACCAGAATAGTCACCGCTCTCCATTGGCTACAACTCTCATTGACCCTGATAACCTTAGTTCAATGAGATAGGAAAATTCTTTTTGCTTTCTCCCAATTCTCCCCAAGGGGTATTCTCAGGGACTACAGTTTTGGTAAATTATTGTAAAAAATAATAAACTAAGCAAGAGTCAGCTCGGACACTGAGTTGACGCCTCTCTGTCCCATGCTATCCCTACCCCTTTCAGACTACGTCCCAAATAGAAACTGCACAAATCCATCATGCAAGAAATTCAGAAAGATGCATCAAATGTATCAGAACATTGGCTGTTTTTTCAGGCGGAAACACAGAAAAGCAAATGGTCAATCCCATTGTGGGTGGGGGCGGGGGAGAAGGGGGGATGCGGGGTCTGAAGTCTTGGTGGGAGGATGGCTGGAGGAGGAGAAGATTTGGGGAGAGGGGAAGGGGAGGTTTTAACAGAGAAACAAAGGACAACTTATCGCACCTTGTAAATATCTTAAAAAGACCAGTCCACAGCCTTTTTGACGGTGGGACACTTTGGAACTGAGTCACGGAATATATTTTTGTTTCTTTCTTGTTTAAAAAAAAAGAAAGAATCCTGTTACCATTGATTGTGTTGTCTGTCCGCAGTTGTACTTTCTCCGTGCTTGTTAGGTTGGGAGTCTGTTTGAGATATATATATATATTTAAATGTTTTCAAACGTATTGAAAATCCTGCATCTTATAAAAATCTCTGCGGAGCAAGTTGCGACGAAGCAGTGGGGGTTCGGGGGGGTGAGGTGGGCGGGGTGGGGGGTGGTGGAGGAATATCGCTCCAGGCTCCGATCAATATCTGCAATTGAAATAAATGAAAGGCACTTTTCCATGTGTGTATATATCATTTTTTTTTAAAAAAAAGAACACCCATTTGCAGCTGTCCTACAACTGACTCAAAGCTGTTTGTTCCTCCAGAACTTGCAAGTAATCTGGGGTTCCCTGGAGTTTGGTTTTTAGTTCCAAACATTCCCCTTTGCGCTGCTCCATCAGCATTTTGGAATGGCTCGCCCCCAGCAGAGATTTCTTCAGTTTTTTCATTTCGCCCTGTTTCTCGGGGTATTGTAACTCGAAGCCGATGCTATTAATCTCCTGTTTGCCCTCGACCAGATTCCGGTAGAGCAGGTGGGGATCTCTGCTGGGGATCAACTCGTCCAATTCATCGATGGTGCTCAGTCGTTTCTTGTCCTTGTCACTGACATTCCTGAGGAAGATGGTCTGGCCTTGGGGGTCTGCGAATGGGCTCCCTTGCTCAGGGCCAGGGTAAGTCTTCCTGAGCTGCTCAATGGTCTGCGGCATGAATTTGCCAGCTGTGCCCGGCTCGGTGCCCTCTTCCCGGGCTGCCGGCTGCTCTCCCTCCTTCAGATGGAGTTGCATGGAGCTACACTCTTGGTTTGCTACCGCTTCGTGTTTGGCAGTGCCTTTCTTGTGCCTTTGCAAGACAAACACCAGGAGGCAAAACGCCACAAATACAGTGAGGATTAACACCACCAGGATACTGAGGATAAGGATGGAGAGGGGTACAGGACCCCCAGCATTAGCCTTGCTCAGGTTCAGAGGGGGGGCTCCAGGGGCTACGCTAGTTTTGGGACTAGGGCTCACCGCTACACCTTTGCTCAAGAGCCTGGGACACAGCACCTCGCTTTTCAGGTCCCTCAAATCCAGGCCAGCAAACTCCACCGGTGTCTCACACCTCACCTCCTTCACTGTGGTGGCCCGGCTCAGTTTCTCTACCCAGAGTTTCAGGGCCACCAGGTCACAGGTACAGTCCCAGGGGTTACCTTCCAGATCGATTTGGCTCAAAGATCTGAGCTGGTCCAGCACACCACTGACTGGGAGGTACATGAAATGGTTATTCCTCAGATTGAGCCTGGCCAGGGGCACCACCGAGAAAGCGTAGGCTGGCAGACCCTTCAGCAGGTTGTTGTTGAGATAGAGCAGCTGGAGGTTGGCCAGGGAATCAAACGTGCCCGCCAGCACTTCCTTGATGAGATTGTACTCCAGGTAAAGGTACTGCAAGTTGTGCAGCCCCAGGAACATGTCTTGGCAGAGTTTCTCAATCTGGTTACCGTTCAGAAACAGCCTCCGCAGGTTGGTTAGGTTACTCAGGACCCCTTTGTGTATGGCAGAGATCCGGTTGTTGCCCAGATCGAGTAGATCCAATCCCTCGTAACCCCGAAACTCCGAGCTCTCCATCTCCCTGATGTGGTTCCCGCTCAGGAGAAGTTGGCTGGCACTCCCCGGTGTAGGCAGGAGGTCCCTCACACTCTCGATCCCTCTCTCTTGACAGTTGACACTCAGTGCCAGGTCTGACGAGTCGCTTTGGCAGTCACACCGGGCCGGGCATTGGACTAGCGCCGGTGCCCGGGTTTGGAACGACGCGATTTGGCTATAGTTGCGGTTGCTGGAGAGGAATTTGCCCGAGACTATCCCAGACTGGGACCTCTTGGGTGGGCTGGTGGGGGTCCTGGGAGCAGGCTGGGGGCGGCGGGTCACTCGGGGGTTCAGCTGGAAAGGTGGGGGCAGGCTGGAGTCTGGGGGATCATCGGTTTCTTCGGGACACAGCTCCCGTTTGGTCATGTCCTTCAGTAACTTGCCATTGAGCTGAGCAGGTGTCTCACAGGCTGGTTCCCCAATGTACAGGTGGTAGGGCATGTTCTCCAGCCAGCTGGCCAATGCCAGCAGATGGCACGAGCAATCCCAGGGGTTGTCCTCCAATTGAAACTGCACAATCCTGCCTATATGTTCCAACACCCCGATATAAGGGATATTCTGCAACCTGTTCCCACGCAGGTCCAGGTGGGTGAGAGAGGCGAAGCGGAAAATGTTGTCTGGCAGCGATGAGATCAGGTTATCGTTCAGGATTAGCACTTTCAGACGGTGCATCTTGTTGAAGGTGCCCCTCTCGATGACCCTGATGAGGTTATAGTCGGTCTGTAGGTATTCCAGGTTCTCCAGGCCCAGGAACATATCAGCTCGCAATAACTGCAGCTCATTGTTGTTGAGGTGGAGCTGTTTGAGGTGAGTCAGTCCCTGGAATGCTCCCGCTTGGATCTCCTGCAGTTTGTTATTGCCGAGTTGCAGCGAGATGGCGTTGGTGAAGTTGGTGAAACTCTGTGGGTACAGGGTGCCCAGCAGGTTGTTCTGCAGGTTGAGGTGGTACATACTGGCAGCCGGGGGTCTGAGCTCGCTCGGTCTATACAAACTGCTGCCTTTGTCGCAGGAGATGTACAAGATGTGTTCGATTGCCACGCACGAACATACCGAACAGATAGCCTTGGTATCCGGCCCGGAAGATGGCGAGGTACCCGGCACTGAGAGAGCCAACCAGACCAGGAGGAACATCTTGGTACCATCCACCTGCGGGAGGGACAGGGGGCAGAACAGTGGCAGTCTTTAGTGTTGTGTATAAGCCAGTGAGAGAGAGAGAGAGAGAGTGAGAGAGAGAAACTAGAGGAGGAAAGGGTAAATATACAGCAAGTGGGAGCGACGGGGCGGGAAACAGGAGAGGAAGGTACGAGTGTTAAAGAGTGAGAGAGAGAAAGTGGAAGGAGAAAGAGAGAGGAAGGGGGAGTGTTGAAGAGTGAGAGAGAGTGGAAGGAGAAAGAGAGAGGGGAAGGGGAGTATTGGAGAGAGAGTGGGGGAGAAAGAGGGAAGGTAACGGGGTGTATTGGAGAGAGAGTGTGTAGGGGGAGAAAGAGAGAGAGGATGGGGCAGTGTTGAATAGTGAGGGAGAGAGAAAGGGAGTGGGGGAGAGAGAGAGAGCGGGAGAAAGAAGAGAGGAAAGGGAGAGTGTTGAAGAGAGAGAGGGAGCGGGGGAGAAAGAGAGTGGAACGGGGGAGCGATGCAGAGAGACGGGGATAAAGAGCACGTCTAGAAGCGAAGGCGAGCGGATAGGAAAAGTTGCCCAAGCCCCGAATG